TACAGAATTACACATTGACTTATATGTTCTGTTCTGAGACTTGTTCCTTCATCACTTACCTTTTTGTCTTAAATCTGTGACATGTAGTCTGTCCTCTTTTTTTAATTACAGATAATAACCCATAGTGTGGGTTTTCTGTAATTTAACCTGTGTCTGTTGCTTTCAATTCTTTGTTGTTATAAGGAATGTCTTTATAGAATGTTAACATCCTATTACATACACCATTATGCCTCTGCATGTGTTTTGGGCCATTATTGATCCCCAGAAAAGGATTGCTATTTCAATAGCTAGACACATTAACAAATTTAGTGGGATCATTAGTAGGCTCAACATCTTGTGCATTGGTAACAGAAATCCATATGAGCTAGTATGGGTGGATCTCTAAGATATATAAAGTTCAAAAGAAGTACATGAAAGTATAGGAAGCTTCCATTTGTGTGTTTATCTGTGTATTTTAAAGAGAATATGTGGATACATGTGTGTACATGTGCATGGAATATTTCTGGGTGCATTATACAAAACTGTTTTCCTTTATGGAATAGGACTAGCCTGGGAGAAAAGTTACAAACATTTTTTGTACATGTGTCTATGTCAGTTTTAATAATCACACACTTATTTTTTTATTGCTACAGTCAATGTGCCCTCCAAAATGCCATCTTGTTTGGTATGCACATTGCTAACATTAATGATGCACATTAATAAATTTGCTATATATAACAAATAGACAGATCTTAACATAAGATTGACAATTTTTCCCATAAGTAACCTAAATATTTATGTATTCCTAATTTGTTCAAACAGAAACCAGTGGCACAAGTTGTACCACTGATGGAGCACCTACTGTGTGCTAGATACTATTCTAGAAGTCTTTTGTGAGTTATCTGACTATATCTTCTCTACAGTTGCGTGAGGCTGGCATGATTGCTCTTTGTGTTACAGTGAGGTAGCAGCTTCAGCAAGGTCAAGCAACTTTCCCAGTGATGGACCCAGGTTTTTATGATTTCAGACCCCGTGTTCTCTCTAGTAAACCATGTAGGCGTGAGTACTTATGCAGCAAATATGGAAATTTCACTTCAGTCGTCTTTTCCCCACTTGAGCTACATCAGCAATCCTGGAGGACTGTGCCTTTGTTCTGGGTTATTTCTAGGTTGAGCTGAAATGAGGCAGCTTGCCTTCGTCCAGATCTCACTTCTGACACTTGGCAACCATGTGTCCTCAGGCAAGTTACTTAGTTTCTCTAAACCCCAGTTTCATCTTTCGTAAAATGGAGATAGAGAGTCTTTGACGTGGGACGCGTGAAAGTGTTACTGTTGCTGCCACCATCCACCATCTCTGCTGTGGTGATGGTCATTTTCCTCGTTCATACAGAGGCTTGCATATTAGATTGTTTGACCTTTCTTTGGATTATCTAATTATGTAATCTTCCCAAAGGGTATTATCTTAAAACCTATTGGTCATTAATTATTTTGAGATACTAAACCAGCCGTGGGCAAACTACGGCCCGCGGGCCAGATCCGGCCCGTTTGAAATGAATAAAACTAAAAAAAAAAAAAGACCGTATCCTTTTATGTAATGATGTTTACTTTGAATTTATATTAGTTCACACAAACACTCCATCCATGCTTTTGTTCCGGCCCTCCGGTCCAGTTTAAGAACCCATTGTGGCCCTCAAGTCAAAAAGTTTGCCCACCCCTGTACTAAACATTGTTTTGTGTTCCTGAGAAAAATAAATGGAATTAATGACTATGTAAAAGGTTCTGACTATAAGTATGCACCCTGCATACTCTCAGAGCACAAAGTGGTAACAGTATTTTAAAAGAGACTTTGAAGGAATCTTTATTTGTGTAACTTAGCAAGTCCCTTTTTCCAGGAGAGATGGAATATAGTTTGGATGGCTACCCACCCCCCCCGCCCCCCCCATTTTGCCACAGCATGTATTAGAAGCTGCCTAAGTAATAGTAGACTTCAGTTCATGTCATCAGCTCATGCATTTCCCCAGAGACCAGAACATAAGATAATAGGTTGTATACTCGTCTTATAATTTTGTGAACAATGTTTTGAAGCTTCTTTTTAATGGCTTGTAATGATTTATGTGACTTTTTAGTGAAGTATGATATGGTCTAGTACCGTGGTCAGCAAACAGAGGCTCGCGAGCCACAGGCGGCTCTTTGGCCCCTTGAGTGTGGCTCTTCCACAAAATACCACGTGCAGGCGAGCACGTACAGTGCGATTGAAACTTCGTGGCCCATGTGCAGAAGTTGGTATTTTGTGGAAGAGCCGGTATTTTGTGGAAGAGCCACACTCAAGGGGCCAAAGAGCCGCATGTGGCTCGTGAGCCGCGGTTTGCCAAGCCGCAGTTTGCCGACCACTGGTCTAGTAGCTTAGCTTATCACCACAATGCAGTTAGGTTGTGGGATAGTAAAAGAATGATTTAATACCACATTATATTTACTTGAAACTTTTATGAAAATGAATGAGTTAGGCGACGGTGAAGAGGAGTAAAGGTGAATCAACTCCAACCTTTAAACCCTGCTTTGCACTAGAAGAAACGCATTAATCCTACTTACTATAGAGGACTTTATTGATGAAAAAGAAGGCATTAGATGCCATTTTATAAAGAACTACTATCCACATTGCTTAAAAATTCTAGGAGTGTGCAAGCAGAATTATTTATTATATATTACTTTTACCATATTACATTTAGGTTAACTTTATATAAATTAAAGTTTTATATTTTAATTTGTGTTCTCTAAATAATAAATGTGTTCATACCTATAGGAAAAGACTTAGAGAATAATTATCCTATTTTAAATGATTGTAGAGGAGTATAATTTTTGCATCTTGCTTTAATGAGATCTTTCCATGGGATATTTAATGCCAGATTTTAGTTTGGAATGAAGAATCTAATTATATTCCTGCCCTTAATGGAAAATATGATTTGCTTTACAATGATCTGCTTTATGATGTGGTTTTCTGGGAATGCATTGTAGCAAAAAGCTGGGACTGTGTCCTTTACAAATGTCCCCATATAGCTAGTACTATTTCATTTCTTGTGCAGTTTAATAGCATGGCCAGCAGATGGTGCCCAAGTATAATGAAAATGTACTTGTGATTATGTTGATTTATATAAAAAAACATTTTTCACTTTAAAATATTGATTTAATTTTTAGTCTGGATACTCAAAAAACTATAATATGACCTTTTTACCTTGTTAAGCTCCATTTTTATATGTAAATGACACTAACACTATAAATAGTTCCTGCTCGTAGGTTGTTGGATGAATTTATGGGTGAGCCAAGCGATACCTTTCCTTCCGAGGGGTTCTTTATGGCCATTGGTGTAAGTAAATATGGTTAGGATTACACATAGTTAAACATCCTTAAATATTATTCACAAAAGTACATTTATTTAAGAATAGTCCTGTTGTTTGGGCAAAAATATTCCACAGCAGCCCTGTCCAACAGAACTTTCTGTGATGGTGGAAATGTTCTATAGCTGTGCCATCTGATACAGTCCCACTGTTCCCATATGACTCTGGAGCACTTGAAATGCGGCTAGTGTGGCCGAGGAACTTAATTTCATTTATTCTATTAAATTTAGTGGGGTGATATTGGTTACATAGGTTTCCAGTGTACAAGTCTATGATACATCATGTGTATATTGCATTGCGTGCTCACCACACAAAGTCAACTCTCCTCCCATCACCGTATATTTGACCCCTCTACCCTCTTCTACCACCTTAAATTTTAATTGATTTGAATAGCCATAGGTGATCGGTGGCTCCCTAACCAGGTTTGGAGTTCTAGACCTGGGTCTTCTGCTGGGCCATTGCAAAACCTGACCTACCAGAGGAAGAGGTGCTGGCTAGGTGGGGAAGTGGAATGGGACTAGGGACTAGGAGTTGAGTATTGGTGCACAGGAACTGCCTCTGCCCCAGGGGAGACCTGTATTCTGTGCTTAGCTTGGTTCACGGTATCTCCCTTTTCCATGATGATCGCCCGTGATCAGCTTCTAGTTGCTCCTCTGCTCACTACAGGTTTCAGAGCAGCTGTCCCTAACAAGTCTTTTCAAAAAAAGAAAAATCATTTATATTATATTAATTTAAAAAATAATCATCTTCATTTTTTGGGGGCAGAACACTTTTTGGAATTTGATATTTTTAACACAATGGACACTGTTATTTAGACATTTAACCTTGAGCTCTAGAAATAAGATATTATTTCTTAGGATATCAATAAAATATAACTTTCACACACTTATAAAGTCACTTAGCTACTCATTAATTTTTAACATTAAACATTAAATTAAATGCTAATTAAACATCATTCTTAGATATTTACCAAGGCAAGGTCAAGTGGTAACAAATTGTAACTGAGAGGGAATAGGCTTGAAAATAATGGTCTTACATTTCTTTTAGGCTTTCTTTTCCCCCCAGTGAGTTGGACTTCTGACAAAATTAGTCATTTTTTCTTTTAAAAATATTTTAATGAGTGGGGTTTTGTAATAGTATTTTTTTATTTCACAAGCAAGTTTCTTTTTGTGAGTTTATAATATGGGACAGTTTTAATTGTCCTTTTAATAAACAAAAAAGGATGACAGCTCATAAATATATTGTAACATTTAATTTTAAGGGAGTTAAGGTACTTTCTGAGTGTTATACTGTTAAGCCAGAGTTATATTAATAAGTGTTGATTTAAATGTGTGACTTTTAAAGGTGTTTTTATTTTTTAAATCAAATGTGTTATTTTAAAGGAGGAAATGGGAACACTATGAAGTCTTAAAATGTTTATGAATCTCTGGTCAACTTTTAGTTTTGTGAAGCTTCTTATTTTTTTGAAATTTAGTGTTGTTTTTTTTTTAATAAAGTTACCTTTGAAAAATTAAAATAAATATGTGTGGGTCATTGGAAGTAACTTTCATTTTCTTATTTTCAGTATTATTTGATACTTTCCTGCATTATTACTTGTTGCTATTTATTTTTATTTTTCATTCATACTTAGCAATGCCATAGAAGACTGTTCTGAAGATGGCATAGAACAGTATTACCTGCTGCTCAGGTGAATGCAAAGTCATGTATCTAAAGTTCTCATTTTAATGTTCTGGTCATTTTTGGTGCAGTAGTTGTATTACTCTTAAAGTGTTTTACACCTGTGAAAAGCACACCTGAAAAATGTGTATGAAAATGCACAGGTACAGTTTAAAGAACAATTATAAACATCCCTTTCCTTTTAAGCCAAGAAATAGCACATTACAATACTCCAGGAGACCTTCTGTGTCCTTTCCCTACTGCCTCCACTTCCCTTCTCCCGAGAGCTCCACTGTTCTGTATTTTGTGATTATCATTTTTTTAACTTTATATAAGTGGAATCATGCCCTATATATTATTTTGACACTTGCTTCTTTCTCTCGTATACTTCCGATTCATCCAAGTTAATAAATGTAGCTGTAATTTATTCTTTGTTTTGTGGTAAACTTAAAATCAATGTATAATGCGTACATCAACACACACAAATCTTAAGTGTAAAGCTTGAAAATATAGGAGAAATGCTTTATGACAACACATTTGGCAATGATTAATTGGCTGTGACACCAAAAGCGCAGACAACAAAAGAGAAAATAGATAACCTGGACTACACCAAAATTTAAAACGTTTGTTTATTGAAGGACACAATCAGCAGAATGAAAAGGCAACCCATGGAATGGGGGAAAATATTTGCAAATCATATATCTGAAAAAGGGTTGATATCTAGAATATGTAAAGAATCCTACAACTCGGTAAGGAAACTAACAACCCAGTTGAAAAAATGGACAAAGGACTTGAATAGACATTTCTCCAAAGAAGATATTCAAACAGCAAATAGTCATATGAAAAGATGCTAAATAAACATCACTAATCATTCTGGAAATGCAAATCAAAACCATGATGAGATACCACCTACTAGGATGGCAACTATTTAAAAAACAAATAAATATTGGCAAGGATGTGGAGAAATTGGAACCCTTGTGCATTGTTAGTGGGAATGTAAAATGGTATGGCTGCTGTGGAAAATAGTATGGTAGTTCCTCAAAAAAATAAAAAAAATAGAATTATATTATGATCAATCAATCCCACTTCTGGGTACTTATCCAAAAGAATTGAGAACAGAGACTTAAATAGATATGTGTACAACTGTGTTCATAACATCATATTCACAATAGACCAAAGACAGAATCATCCCAAATGTCCATCAATGGATGAATGGATAAACAATATGTGGTATTTACATACAATGGACTATTTTTGAGCCTTAAAAAGGGAGGAAATTCTGACATGTTACAGTATGGATGAGCCTTGAATATATTATGCTAAGGGAAATGAGCCAGTCACAAAAAGACAAATACTGTATTACTGCACTTATATGAGGTTCCTAGAATAGTCAAATTCATAGAAAGTAGAATGGTGGTTGCCAGGGGCTGGGGACAGCGGGAGTGGGGACTTAATTGTTAAAAGGTTACAGAGTTTCATTTTGGTGAGATGAAAAAGTTCTGGAGATGGATGGTGATGAGGTTGCACAACAGTGTGAATGTAGTTACAGTCACTGAACTGTATATTAAAAATGGTTAAGGTGGTACATTTTATGTTAGGTGTATATTGCCACAACTAAAGATAAATAAGGGAAAAAACACACCAATTAGAAGTATCAGGAATGAATGAAAGAAGCTCCACACAGATCCTGCAGGCATTAATATTATAAGAAAATATTATAAATGCCTATACCAGTGGAAACTTTGATGAAATAGACATATTTCTTGAAAGACACAAAAATCACTACTGACTCAAGAAAAAATTAGAAATGTAAGTGGCCCTATCTCTACCAAAGAAATTTAATTTGTAATTAACCACCTTCTCACAAATAACTTTCCAAACTCCAATGGCTTTCTTGATGAATTGTATCAGGAGTTTATAGAAGAAAATTATATCATTCTGCATGTTTTTTTTTTTGTACAATAAAGAAAGAAAGACAAAATGCTTCCCAACTCATTTGGTTAAGTCAGTATTTTTTTTGTTTCTGAAAGAAGACAAAGACATTACAAGAACATTAAACTGTGTACCAATATTTCCTCATGTACATAGATTTAAAAATTTGTAATTAGCATACTGTATCCAGAAAACATAAAAAGCATATTATTTCATGAATAGATGGACTTATTCCAGTAGTAAGAGGTTGGTTGGCACTTGAAAATCTATTTCATTATATAACTAAGAAAGAAAAATCACATGATTATCTCAATAGATGCAGAGAAAACATTTAACAAAATGCAACATCCATCTATGATAGAAACTCTCAGCAAATTAGGAATAGAAAGGAACTTCCTCCACCTGATTTAAACCCAAAGCGGTTATAAAAAAAGAAAAGAGGTCTTAGCAGTCCCGATTTGTAGAGTTAAAGCTGCAGTAATAAAGACAGCAGTGTTGGTGAAGGGATAGAGAGATCCATGAAATAGAATGGAAATTCTAGAAATAGGTGTCCGCATATATATATGGTTAATTGACTTTTCACAAAGATGGCGACGGAATGAAGTGAAGGAAGGAAGGCCTTTTCATCAAATTATGTTTGAACAACTGGATACCCACATGGGGAAAATGAAGTGGGTTATAGACCTAAATGAAAATGCTAAGAACTATAGGACTTCTAGAAGGAAACAGAAAAATCTTCGTGGCCATGGCAAAGAGTTCTACAATAGGATATTTAAAAATGAAGAAAAAACTATTAACGACTATGGAAATTAAAAGACACCATTTGGAAAATTACCTGGCAAGGCACAGATGGGAGAAAATATTCTGAATACATACATCTGACAAAGCACTTGGGTCCAGAATATGTGAAGAACTCACAACTCAAGAAAAGGTAGATAACTCAATGTGTGAAAGATTTTACAGACACGTCACAAAAGAAAATATATAAATGGCTAATACACACAAATGAAAAGGTGATCGACATCATTCTTTATTAGGAAAATGCAAATTATAAATATGTGATACATTACACACCCGTTAAAATGGCTAAAAATATAAAGACTGAGAAGACCAATAGGATTACGATATGATGAATTGGAAGTCTGTTCTGTTGACAGGAATAGAAAATAGCATGCCCACTTTGCAAATTTCTTTTAAAGTTTAAGATAATTTACCATATGATCCACAATTCTATTCCTAGGTGTTTAGTCAAGAGAAATGAAAATGCATGTCCACATAAATATTTGAGCCTGAATATTCATAGAAGATTTATTTATAATAGCCCCAATATGGAGACAATCTTAATGTCCATCAGCATATGAGTAAAAAAGCAAGTGATGGTTCATTCATGTACTGGAATACTACAGCAATAAAATGAAATAAACTTCTGATATGTGTAACAACATGGCTGAATCTCAGAAACATTTTCCTCAGTTACATAAGCCAGACAAAAATGTACATAGTTTTGATTCCATGTATTTGAGATTCCACAAAATACGCTTGCCTGGGTTTGCAGAAGGGAGTAGATTGATTCCAAAGGAGCTCAAGAGAACTTTGGGGTGTGATAGAATCTGTCTCTTTAGTGATGGTTATACCGTATATACATTTGTCAAAACTCATCAAATTCTACATTTTAAATGGGTAAGATTTTATTGTAAATAAATGATATCTCAATAAACTTAATAAAAATAATATCCAGCGAGGTGTAGCCAAGGCTTCTTTGGTGTGGCTTTTTCCAATCTAAACATCTGTGAACTAAAGGAGTACTTAGAAAACTGAAAGTGCAACACATATACAATGACAGTTCTACAGCATTCTGAAATCTAGCCAGACATCCTATCTGTTGTCTGTTTCTTTTTTTAAAAAAATTATTTGGTTTCTTTAACAATATACTTTTATTGATTTCAGAGAGGAAGGGAGAGGGAGAGAGAGAGAGAAACATCAATGATGAGAAAACCATTGATTGGCTGCCTCCTGCACGCTCCCTACTGGGGATTGAGCCCACAACCCGGGCATGTGCCCTGACTGGGAATCTAACCATGACCTCCTGGTTCATAGGTCAATGCCCAACCACTGAGCCATGCCAGCTGTGTCTTGATTAGGGCTTAGTGCTTCTTCCTGGGTTTGTTCTTCATGGCCTGGGCTTTTCCCTCTGAATTACCTTTCCTTTACCATAAGAAGTGATTTGTTTTAAGCCTAGTAGTTTTCTTAGCCTGCTTCCCATTTGTAGAATTTGGGGACTCAGAAGCCTCTTTTCATTCTGAATGTTCTGTCCCTTTCACATGAAGCCAGTCTGACCCCTTGTTTTTGGGGCTGCGTTTATGTTCTTTGCCTTTCTGGGGCATATAGCTTCTTATAAGTCATAATTTTCAAATGACCACCCGCACTGGTCTTTAGCTTCCTCTCAGAGCAAGGAACTCCATCCCTGCCTCTGGTTTCCTGGTGAGTTTGACTTTATTCCTCTACTTTGAGGAACTCTGATTCCCTCCTACTTCTCTGCAGTCACACTTCCTGCTGCCTCTGGTTGTTTCTGGAACCAGGGCCTGGCAGACCTTCAGTTTCCATCCTTCTCACGGCATTGCATTTTTGTTCTTGCTCACAGTGGTGTCATGGGTTATTCTTTTAGGCTCTTCTCTGGTGCAGTCTTAACTGCCACTGTCACTACTGTATCTTTAACTCTTATTCTTCAAATTTCTGTCTTATTTGCTCCTTCTGGAATTCATGTTATTTCGACATTGGAGATTTTGAATGTATCTTCCTTATCTCTTGCATTTGCTTTTATTATTATTATAGTCATCCCTTTATTTTCTCCTTTGTGTTCTTAGGATACTTTTTGAACTAGTTTAATTTGCTGATTTGATTTTATGCTATATTTAGTCAGCTGTTCTTCCATTATGGTTTTACAATTTGATAATCATGTTTTTCATTTGTAAGCACATTTTTATGATCACAGATTGTTCATTTCCTTTCTACAGCTGAAATGTTCACTTGAATCACAGTCAGAGCACAGATTAAAAATACATTTTATAAGTTTCTCCCTTTAAAAATACATTTTCTTTTGTAGGAGGACATGTGATTGCTCTTTCTTTAGGCTTTTAAATCTTATATGTGTCATTGGTTATCTCTTTCTCTTTATAGGGACCAAGTCTCTGTTCCTCTAGTATTTGGAACAACAGAGGTGCTGAGCGAATGTTTCTGAATTCCTATTGAAATATTTTAGCATTAGGGAAAAGTGAAAGGAAAAAATGGCTATTTCCTATACCCAATTTGCTATTACGAGGAGTGAAAAGGCATTTGATGTCAGGGCTTCTTATAATGTGCTGGAGCTTTTCTGGTTGTGTTAGTTCGGGCGCCCTCAGGTTAATCAAGCCATAGTCCCTCTTTTCTAATTGGCCAAGTACCATAATCATGAGCTCGCTGTAATCACGCCCCCTGTACTAATTGTAGGCTGTCTTTATGAGCACCATGGCTTGCTAGTCTGTTACCCTTCAGAAGAAGGTTTATAGGGTTGAGCTTTGCCTTCTATCCTCTGTCTCACTGTTCACCTTGACCTCCAGCCCCATCTCTGTGATTCTGAGCTACCTTTGTACCTACTTATAGTTTCAGTTAATTGTGTTACCAGCTTGAATCAGTCTCGGTGGCCAGAAATGAAATATCTAGGCCTAATGTCCTAAGTTTCTTGTGCCAGCCAGATTTTAGTGCTGATACTGACCTTCCTCTTTTCCTTGGTTCAGCTGCCTTCACCTGGAGCTGGCTCAGAAGCCTCTGCTCCACTTGGCCTGCGTTGGCACGTGTTCTGGGGCAATAGAATGCAGTTGGTTTTGGACATGTTGAAATGGAGGTGGGGCTATTTAACTTGTATTTGTAATGGGGTTGGAGGCAGAGAGAGCAATTGGGATGGATATGTGGATTTGGTAATCCAAGCTTCTTATTGTTTAAAAAACTAATAGCATATTGAATTGTCCAGGGAAAGCATGTAAAAGAGAAGTAGATAAGACTAGGCACAGACACCTGGGATTTTAGCTGGTATGGGATGTAGAGAGAGGAAGCTAGTGAAGGTTTCTTTGAAGATTTCCCAAGGAGAGAACCAGGGAAGAATGGTTCTGTGGAGCCAATGAACATGGCAGCTTTAAAACACTGTCCCTCATGCCTTGGTGAGATTAACTAGGTAGGATAAGGACGTTAATGCCTCATTTGCTTGAGCAACTAGGAGATCGTTGATGACTTTACATACAGCACTTTCAGGGTGAGTGGAAGGCAAATTGCTGATGGAAGAGTATATGGCAGGTTAGGGCATGGGCCCAATAACTTATTTTGAAAATTTATTGTGATGAGAAAGAGGAAGATTGGTACAGAGAATGCTACGAGTGAGGTAAAAGGCTGTGTTGTTTTATGTATGCACCCTGTGTAATAAACCAATAAATGTTTCAGTTCTTCTTTTTATTAATATTTTCTATGAGAAGAATTACTTTTAATATTTAAGCATTTTTCAATTTTTAAGTATAGCTCCTTTTTATGACTGTTTAATCTATTCTTAAAGAAGAACAGGCCACTGCTTAGTTTAATATATCAGGCTGCCTCTTCCCACACTGAGTATTAAATGCTTCTATCAGCTCTAGCACATTGGCTGATGAGATTATTTTCAAAATATTTATCTACTTTTTTCATTTTTTTTAACTATTTGGCTATGTGGGATATTGAGTAGGGGTATACAAAATGGATAGCTCTTTTGAAAATAGCTTTCCCAGACATTCTAAATTATTTTGTAACTAGTCTAAGGAATGTTATTCTATTAGAGTTACTACCAAAAAACACATTCAGTGTAGCCTTGTCATTTTGAGTTACTATTTTATCTTTTTGGAATACTTAGTACAGCTCACTGTTTGTGAAGGAAATCCTGACATGGCTTGTGGTTGAAAGTTAGTGACTTTAATTCATTATATAATGGTTAGTTTCCATTTCACAAATATTGAAGCAGCTGTTCAGAGAACAGATATTTGTAGTCATGGAACTTTCATTGAAGCAATGTGAGTAAAAGTGTAGAGTAGAATATTGAGTAGAATACCAGGCTAGGGTAGAATATTGAGAATGGTATTTTTATATTGTGTTTTTTTGTTCAAGTTTTTTTCCTACACATGTTGTACTTATCATATTTTACCTGAATTAACATGGTGCACTTAAATTTAATTATTATTATTATTATTGATTTTTAGAGATGGAGGGAGGGAGGGAGAGAAAGAGTAAGAGGGGGGTAGGAGAGCGGGAGAGAAAAATCGATTGGCTGCCTCCACACGAAACCCTGGCATGTGCCCTGATTAGGAATTGAACCAGTAACCTTTTGGTGCATAGGGTGATGCCCACCCAACTGAGACACATTGGCCAGGGCGACATGGTGCGTTTTTAAATTGAAGACTTTGATTTATCTGTGGTTTCTGACAAGGTTCCAAATTAATTCAGACTTTCAGCTACATGAAAGTTTCGTTATTTTATATATTTTTAGGTTTCATCTTGATATGGAACATGAATTCCACAAAACTTGCTAACCTTTTAAAATAATTATCTAAGAATGCTTTATTTTTTTCTCTTCCTACATTTAGGGTAAGGTGAATGGAGGAGAACATTTTAAATGCATGTAGTTATTATATTCCTATTTAAAGATCGCATTTGTTTGTAAACAAGTATGTGGCTTTTAGGTGACATCTTATTTATAGTTTAAATGAAATAAAATGTGAGAAATAAGTTATTTAGATTTTTTTCTTTGCTACTGAAACATCATTGTTAATATAAATAATCATCTCACCCCAAGAAAACTTGGTAAGCTTAGATTTGAAAATTCCCATGTCCTCCGAATGCCCCCAATTCTGATTGTTACTATGTTGGTCTGTCCATAGGGAACAGTACACTGCGCAACTCCAAAGGACATCACATTCTAGGAGTCCAACCTACAGAGAAGACGGACAACATGTTACCCAAAAGAGTTGTGTAAGATCAGATTCTACTTCTGTTTGTTTGTTGCTTTAACTCCACAAACTTTTAGTTTCATATTATCAAAGTTCCAACGATGACTTAGAAACAGCAAATAAGTACTGAAAGTTTTGGTGACCATCCTGATGTCAAAGAAATGGTGTATTTAGAATATTCCACACTGTTCCTCCTGCTTTCTCAGTAATTCTAAGGCATCATGTTAATCAGTCTGTTGTTTTTCTTGTGTATCAAAGAATAGCTTTGGAAAACTATTCGTTTTTTAGATATATTTTTACTTTTTTATTCAGTGTATGTATAAAAATAATAAAACAGTTGTCATAAACTTAAGAAATTGGGATTAACTTGTAGTGAAATAGGAGACACTGCCTTTCTGATGAAGTGAACTGTTTATATCTTGACCTATGAATTCCTCTCTTGCATCTAATTGCAATAGATGCAATCAGTTGCATAAATAACATAGATTTAGTTTGAACAAGGTACCAATGAGCATTGCAGGTAGCTGTGTGAAGGGAAGGACTTTGCCTGCCTACTAGGGTCTTTGTGTAACTCTGGCTTGTCTTGGGTTGCAAGACTTTTAGTTCCAAGAATATCCCGAGTGATGCCTGACTGTTTTAGCACATATTGCTCTGAATATAACTCCTTGCATTTTCTCCAGTGGTAATTTGGAATTTTCAAAAATATTTTAATATAAAGGGGAGCACATTTTAAATATTTGTGGGTTTATTATCAAGCATTACATTTACTCAAAATAAAGCAGGTACATTTTCTTAAGACATTCTTATTCATAAAAATAAAAAGGGGACCAATGATAGAAGCAATAGTAAATTTTAATATAATATATAACAAACAACTTTTTGTTTTCATCACTTCAGATGACTTAAATGACCATAGGTAAATAGGTTTATTTGTATTAATGAGGGTTTCTGAAAGCATGAAAATACTGTATCAACAAATTTAATTTCAAAATAAATTTTTTTGACTGTATTATAGAATATACACTGTTATTTTACACAGATGAACCTTTCTAAGTTTTTAGCGCTTTCGGATCATTGTTCATTTTTGGCACTGATCTTAGGCTGTCCTCAGTTAATTACAATTTCAATCTGGTTTGATAAATATGTAATTTAATAAATTACATGGGAGGTGAAAAAAAGCATGGAATTCTACTTTTTTGAAAAAGTAAAGAATCACCGTAATTGTGTTTTTGTGATGTGAATTCAAAGCCTATTTCTCTTTATATTCAGGGTATGAATGAGAATTAATTTAAGAACAAAGAGCTTCTTGGACATCAGCACAAACTTTCCTGTTAACTAATTTTAACGAGAGTAAATAATTCATCTTTTCAAGTGTCTCCCCATCCCCCTTTAAAGCTACTGTGGTATACCACAATTAAAACTTTCTGTAAAAGAACTTAAAGAGAAGAGTCTGGATTAATTTTTAAAATATTCTTTTGATGGTTTTTTTGAAATCTAGTTACTGTGTGAATATATTGTGAAGGCATCTCATAGCCCTAAGCAGATGTAATAAACAGTCATTACTTAGAACTGAAAACCAGCTCAATTGTAACATAACCCTTTCCTCTGAGGCAATACAGCACTACCAGAAAAGCTCACAACGTTCTCACTGCTCTGAACGGCACATTTTGTCCGTCTTCCTCCGCCCTTTTCCCTGCTCTCCCTCCCTTATTTACCTTCTTCCTTTTCTCTTTTATTTCTTCCCTCCTTCCCTCTTTCCTTCATCCCTTCTTTTTCTCTTTTGTATTTCAGGAAGTTCATTTGAAAAAATCTGCTGTTTCTTTGGATGACAGCGACATTGAAGCTCGCCTTAATAGTTGGAATCTTGGGGTAAAACAAGTATTTGTTTTATGTATGTATATTCATGTGGCAGAACCATAGTATTTGAAAAAACATCTGAACTAATTTAATTCTATTCAGTGACTAGTATTGGATGTTAGATGTCAAGTACTGTGTTAACACTGAGAAGGACTGTGAGCGCAGGAAAGAGAAGTAACATTCCAAACAAGCATCACATAGTCCGCCCCTGACCAGCTGCCTTTTTTGTTGGGGAAATGAGACATACACATAAATAGTAAAATAATAATTTAAGATAGTAAATGATAAAATACCAAAATGAGTTAGAGAGAAGAATATTGAGGTGGAGGGGAGGGAAGGGAGGTGTTGGAGAAGCAAGGGTATTTGGGTTGAAAAAAAAAAATGTCAGGGAGACTTCATTGGATGAGCCGCCATCATGAACAGCAGTTTTCAGATCCAAAGGCTGGGAGCATGAGTGTACTTGGATGGGTGGGGAGGACAGAGCATGAAGAACGAGTGCTGTGTGAGTGATCTGTCATGACTAGATCCTAGGGTGTATGTGGGGGTTGGGGAGCAGCGTTAGCAGCTGGACTACATGGGAGATCTGAATGCTAAATTGAGAAGTTTAGCATTTATGTTTAAGGCAATAGTAAGGCCAGGAGGTTTATTTTATTTTTAAAATATATTTTTATTGATTTCAGAGAGGAAGAGAGAGAGAGAAAGAGATAGAAACATCAATGATAAGAGAGAATCATCAATCGGCTGCCTCCTGCTGGGATTGAGCCCGCAGTCTGAGCCTGTGCCCTGACAGGGAATTGAACCCTGACCTCCTGGTTTATTGGTCAGTGCTCAACCACTGAGCCACACTGGCAGGAGGTTTATTTCTACCCCACCCCCTTACATTCCATTTTACATATATGCTGTTAAAATGCTTTGAGGAAATAAAAAGGAGCTTACAACAATTTTTTCCATGCTTGGTTACTATAAAAATAATTTGTAATTTGAACATTTGAAAAGTACAGAAAATGAGAGGAGTAAACTGTTTTAAAATCATAACACTGAGAGATGTAACATTTTGTTTTATGTATATATCCTTTATTCTGTGTGTTTATAAAATTAAAATTTAAACAAAATTGCGGTTATATTTAAATACTATTTTATTATGTGCTATTTTAAATTTGGTTTAAGTTTATAATAGTTCTGTAAACATGAATCTTAATGGTAGCACTAATTTTTCTTTTGGATGGATATTCCATAACTTATTTAAGCACTCAGTTATTTTTGGACATTCAGGTTGCTCCCTGTTTGTTGCTAATATAAGTAATACTGCACTAAAATTACTTACAAGAGTCATTTTATATGTATTCAGTTGCTTTCTTATGTCCAGAAGGGGTATACCAATTTATTTTCCAACCAGCAGTGTATGGGATTGTCTATTTCTCTCACTTCTTACTGACATTAGGGATTATTATTTTTAAAAAACCCAAACCCTTCTTTCTAATGATGGGCTTAATGTGCTTTAGGAAAATCAACTAGGTAGCATTATGAAGGTTATGGTGGATGTGAGTAGAAATGGAGAGAGGGAACCAATCATCTTGTAGGTGTTCGCAATGAACTCTACATTAGTGTGACTTCAGTGGAGATGGAAAGTGCAGGAAGGAAGCCCGTTTCACAGAAAATACAGGATGCTTAGTGACTGGTAGGCTGCACAGAAGGGCACCCAAAGGTTTCAGGAAATGGGAATGTTGGCTCTTCATCAGTTAGTTGATTGTCCAATGGGAGAATCCAGTTTAGGGGTTTAAAAGCTTGTTTTAGACTCATGGAGTTGGAAGAGATGGTACGATTAATTGGGGAGTTCAAAGTTTGGAGCTTCATGAGACTCAGGGTGGGAGTCTTCTGTCTTAGTCCCTCTGTTAGAGGGGCAGTTGTACCCGGAGGCTGAACAGACCTAGTCTTTAAAGCGAGGAGGCTGGGTGGGAGCACAAGTGAGGATGCTTGGCTCAGGCAGTGGCCATGATTGGAGGGCAGGGAAAGGGATAAGGATTTAAGCTACATGAATCTCAGTGATTTTGGAGTACATTAATGACAGAGAAGGGAGAAGCAGAATCGATCACGAGGGGAATAGTCAAAAGAAAAACATTTTCATGTTGGAGGATGTTGGAGAAGTGGTCTAAGTTACCATCATGGGAGGAGAGCACAGGAAATCCCTCTGAAAGACAAATTCTTTTTGCCAGAAGGCAAAATCAAAGTGAAAAACAAAATTCCGAGCCTTTTAAACTTGCCTTTGCCCTCAGCTATTTGAAACTTCTGATGTACATTTCTTAGCACATGGAAGACTTTTCACGATTACTTACTAGTAACTGTTCGGAGGATTAAAATTTTCAATGTATAATAAAATGAAAAGAAAGCATCTAAAATATTTTGAGGTAATGCCTTAAAACTAGGCCTGCCTGGGGTTTTGTTTCACATTTTTATTGTTCAAAGAATGCACTAACAGTATAAAATATGAAAGTCTTGTATTTTTATATATTTATAACATACATGCATTAATCAGGCTGAGCTATGTATCTCTTGATCACAGTAGAATAATTCAAGTGTCCAGTGTATTAAAGGCTTAGATTTTGCTTTGGTTTTAGTTTGTATGAGAATGTGCCACGGAATGTTTTTTCCTTTCTTCTTTTGAATGATCAGTTAATAGCTGGTTAATTTTTGTGCTCTATACAAAGGTAAGTTTTTTATATATCTAGTGTGACTGTCAATACCTTCATTTTGATGCATTAGAAGTTCTGGAATTTGAATTTTCTAGTTTATGTTAAAAATACCATTATTCTTTCTTTTTCCAGGAGTGTGTTAATATTTTTTTCTAGGAATACGTATTTCAAGTAGAGATTTATATACTAAGACTAGCAATTAAATTTTCCTCCTGTATTATTTTTTCTTACTCTTTAACCTTTTTAACCTTTAGTTTTTGGAAAGCTTTCTTGCTTTGTTAATATACTTTATTATATATGTTTCATGCGTAACTCTTTTTATATAAATCTTATTTCTGAGGATGGGGTGAAGGGCCATAGGGAGGACTTTCTTGGGCTTTTCATCCCAGTTCCCATCCTGGGTCCTGTGCTGACTGCAGAGCCTCACTCCCACCGGGAGCAAAGGAACAGTGAGGACTCTGAGTAGTCCCCCTAGGTCCCTGGAAGCACAGCTGAGAGACCAGGACCCAGGATGGGGGGTTTGTGCAGGGAGAGCTCTCAGGACAGGAAGTGAGGGGAAGGAGCAGGGTGAGGTCAGCAGAAGTGTCTTCTCCAGACCCCTCAGGGAGTTCTGGAAGATGGACAGCACCCCAGGGTCTATCATGAAGGGTGAACCGCCCCATTGTGGTCAAGGGAGCACCTGCACGGCATCAGCAACTGGAGGTGCTCCCTTACTCTCTCTGGGAGGAATGTGGGAGGCTGGCAATTCTACTCACTGTGTCTTTGTCACTGTGGCCCACTGAGAACTGTTCTAATTGGTCACCCAGGGCTGCTGTCACTCTAGTGAGATGAGCCATCCAGTGGAGGGGCTGCCCAAGGTGCCGACCCGCAGAATTGGGAGCTAAATCCAGTGGTTGTAGTTTGAAGCTACAAAGGTTTGAGTGATCTATTATGCGGCAAAAAGCCAATTGATACAGTAGATACTGCCAAATCGTTTTCTAGAACGCTTGTGCCACTTTGATCCTCATCAGCAGTGTGTGCCAGTTCCTGTTCAGTACTTGGTGTCATCAGTTAATTATTATTATTTTAAAAAATATATGTTTTTATTCATTTCAGAAAGGAAGGGAGAGGGAGAGAGAGAGAGAAACATCAATGATGAGAGAGAATCATTGATTGGCTGCCTCCTGTATGCCCCACACTACGGATTGAGCCAGCAACCTAGGGAATGTGCCCTGACCGGTAATCAAACCATGACCTCCTCGTTCATAGATCGATGATCAACCACTGAGCCATGCCAGTTGGGTGTCAGTTAATTATTTTTAATTAAAAATATGTAGCTACTAGAGGCCCAGTGCATGAAATCCATGCACAGGTACGGTCCCTAGGCCTGGCCGTTGATCAGGGCCAATCGGGGCCTTCCTTCCAGCTGCCAGCAGGGGCCTCCCTTTCCCAGCTGCCGGCTCCCGGCCAGGGCCTTCCTTTGTTCCATGACACCCCCTGTTGGTCAGCGCACGTCATAGTGAGTGATAGAACTCCCAGTCGAACTCCCGCAGGGACACTTTGCATATTAGCCTTTTATAAATATAGACTATAGGCCTGGTGCATGAAAATTCATGCACTGGATGGGGGGTCCCTCAGCCCAGCCTGCTCACAGTCCGGGAGCCCTCAGGGGTGGGAGGCGACCCGGCCATCAGGGGAAGGTGATGCCCCCATCACACCTCTGCTGCTGCCACTGCTGGCAGTGCAAGCCTCGGCCTGCCCTGGTTACCTGAGCCTCAGGCGGCCCAGGGTGGCTGGGCAGCCGACATCCGAGGCTTGCCTGCGCCTTGGGCGTCAGCTGGGCAGCCGACATCTGAAGCTTGCCTGTGCCTCGGGCCAGCCCTGGGCAGCTGGGGGGCTGAGGGTGGGTCCAGCCACAACATGTGCCTGCCACCCCCTTGGCTGCCACCCTCACCGGGGCTGAAAGGACTGGAGGACTCTGGCGGGGCTGAGGGACTGGGTGCCACCATCTTGTGGGTATGGGCGCCACCATCTTTGTGATGGTGTGATGGTCAATTTGCATATTCCATCTTTATTAGATAAGATTCTCAAGAGTGATTACTGACATTGCATTGTGTGTTTTTTAACATGCATTTTCTGATGACTTACAAAGTTAGATGCTTTTTAATATGTTTATTGACAGTTTGGATAGTCTCTCAGACTGAAGTGTCTATTTAAGGCTATGCCAATTTTCCTATTGAGTTGTCAGCCTTTTTCTTATCAATATGTATGAACTTTGTATCTATCCTGGATTAGAGTCCTTTTGGAATATAGTGTTATAAATATTTTCTTTCACTTTGTTGCTTTCCTTCATTCTCTTTCTGGTGTCTTTGATGAATAGAAATTTTAAATTTTAATGCAGTTCATTTTCTCATCTTATCATTTTATATTTAGTGCTATTTTGGGTTCTATTTAAGATCTTTGACTATCTTAATTTAAGGTCCTGAAGATATTCTCCTATGTTTTCTTCTAGTAGCACTATTATTTTATTTTTTCTATTTAGATCTACATACCATCTGGAGATGGTATTGTATATATTGTAAGATATAGAGTTAAGATTTGTTTTTGTCACTTGGAGAGTTCCATTTATTGAGAAGACTATTCTTTTCCAGCTGCACTGCAGTATTATTTGTCTCATAAATCAGGTGACAGGACATGTCTGTTTCTATTCTGTTCTTTGGCTTATTTAGCTTTTCCTTGTGTCAATGGACTGTGTCTTGATATTTGTATTTTATTTGTGCTCATTAAATGTTTGTTGAAATGTGAGTAAACCAATGAATGAGCCTCAATTTGTAGTATTATTTCTGTGAAAAATGTTTTTCAATTCCCAGAATATTGACTTAAAAAACATTATTTTGGAGCATAATTGATTTAACATTGAGGAATGAGCTTATTTTATGCAAGAGTTTTGGCAGCTTTTCTGACTGATGCTATGACTTAAAAACATTTATTTTAGGGGGTGTTGTATCTATTCTGTTAATGTCCTTTCCTCTAAGACAGCCAAAATACCATATAAAATGTCTTTCTATATTTCTGGAACCATACACCATCTCTATTTGATTAACATTAGTCTATAAGGGGGTATTTGGTGAGTTTGACCAAATTGTGAATAATTTGAAGAAACAAACTGACAGAACCCTTTGTAACCAAATAAATGAATCTGCTAAAGAACTAAACAAAATAAAACGTCAAAGCCAGCTTTCATTAGAGAGCATTCAGATGTCTGTTTTTATGTTTAGTTTAACTTATTCTATATTTTATTATTGTGATTCTATTTGCTTCTTAAACAAGAAATGTTCGGTCACGTGGTTTACGCATGCTATGGAACTTAATTATTTTTAGCTTTGCTTTCTGTATAATATTTTGTTAGACTTTAGTGTTTCACATAAGTCCTTTTTATCTCCCATTTTGGACATTCTTTATTGTGGTGTTCTTTCTTGAGGTATTATGAGAGAACAAGAAGTTTTCTAAAAGAGCATGAAGAAGTAAATGTTAAGACTGTTTACAGATTGCTTCAAGTCCCTGTTGCTGTGGATTACAAAGTGGGAACATTTAACTTCAAAGCACATCTGGCTGCTGTTATAAAAGTAGAGTGCTCTTTTTCCCAAATAGACTCAAGAACATGCTTTGCTATGAATAATTCTCATTACATATTAAAAGTGGTCATGAGACAAACTCAGTGTATTGTGAATGAATAACAACAACAGACGATTTGTCCTTGTTCACAGTGTTTGTTGTTGCTTTTAAATACTAGAATAAATTTTCTCTTTTTATTTTTTTCTATTTTCTTGGTCCATTGGAAAAATGAAATTTATGATAACAGAGTGAGTCCTTAACTTCCGTGTTTAATGGCTTTTAAAGATGAAGAGCATGAACTAGGAGTTACTGCAGAGTTGAAAGGCCACATTGTAGTCAGCTAAACCAGTATTTTGTATCCTGCTTGTAAATGTAGAGTGGAGTAAAAATAAGTCACAAATGGTTTTCTTGGCTTTTGGTTTTAAATTTTAAGCTTAATTAGAGCTTGAGCATCTTTGAGAATTCCCTGCTTTCCTCTTCCTTTATTTTTCCCCTTAATTTAATTCTCCTTCATGAATTAGAGGTTTATGTATTTTCAGATTTACGTGTCTTTGAAGAACTTACTTTCTATGCGGGTTTTCTCTATTCTGAAAATAGAGAATAGTTAGTTACTTTTCATATGTACACCTTCAAACAATAAATATTTATCGAGTGCACTTTGCTGCCTGCTGAACCTTTGCTGCCTCTATTTTTAAAACAGCCAAGTATATATAGTACAGTGTTATTTGCTAAAGAATATGCCTCTTTCTCTGGTATGATATTTAAGTGGATTTTATTGTCTTAATGAATGTTCCCCAAAGTAAATATACTCATTCATACACCCACTGGAAGTGCTCCATATCTGGAACACTCTAATTGTCAAATTTTTAATGTATGCCAGTCTAGTGGTGGTAAAATACCATCACATTGTGGTATTACTTTACATTTTTTAAAATAAACAGATTGAGCATATTTTCATGTTTGTTAGTCATTCAAATTTCTTCATCAGTGAAACGTGTCTCAAGTTTTTCCCATTTTTTTCCTAATGGGTTGTTCTTTTTAAAATTTTAAAGACCTTCTTTATACATTTGAGAGACAAAGCATTCATGCAAACATCTTCTCCTAATTTATGGCTTCTCATTTCACTTTATTTATGATATATTTTTTGGAGATAAGTTCTTATTTAAAATGGTCAAATTTATTAAATTTTTTGCTTATGCTTTTTTTTGGTTTCTTTTTTAAGAAATCTTCTCTATTACAAGGCCATAAAGTCATTCTTCTAGATCGTCTCCTGAAAGTTCTGCTTTTAATTATAAGTATTTAATCCATTGGAAATTTATTATATATGGTGTGAGGAAGGGATCTGATCTTATTTTCTTCCACTTGTTGAACACATCCTAATTTTCTCAATAATTTGCAATGCTATATCTTTCATGAATAATATGCTCATATGTATTTGAGTTTCTGGTACTTCCTAGTTCCATTGACTTATCTTCATTGTTGTAGTTTTCTTTTTTCTTTTTTTTTTTTTTTTTTTTTTTTTGCTCATATGTATTTGAGTTTCTGGTACTTCCTAGTTCCATTGACTTATCTTCATTCTTTTTTGTATTTTTTTTTCTTTTTTTTTTTTTTTGTTGTAGTTTTCTTATGTCACACCACCTTGATCTTTTTCTTCAGGTTTGTCTTTCTTCTTGTCCCTTTATTTATTTATGCACATTTTATAATAAGCTTCTTAAGTTTTCAAAAAACCCTACTTAGATATTGGTTTGGGTAAACTTGGTCACTACATCAAGTTAATGAGAATTGGCATTTTTACAATATTGAGACTATTCAAAAACATAGGCTGCAAGAGGATCATGAAAGTACAATTGTGTCTGCAGAGGTTATGTTTTATATTTCATTTGTTAGTGGGGCACTAAAAATGGATTATGCAATAGCTATTCTAAAAAACAAGCTAAATAATTAAGACATATAGAAAACATTTTCATAAAGCAGCTTAATTCTATATTTTATCAAATAATAATTAAAGCTCAAAAATTGATAAGTCCTTATTTTTAAAATTTCAGATAGAAAATCCTCGGTACCTGAGACAGAAGCCTATCCCAGTTTCTCTGGTAGGTGAGAATTTCCTTGGACTTTTCCTATGGACAGATATTTTTAAATAAAACAATCAAGTCATTTACAGAAAATAGTCTAGGTCCACATTATAAAGCATAATTGTCTTATGAATCCTATCACTTGGAATTGGATAAATGATTTTTTTTCTCCAGTGTTGGCATCATTTTGGCATGAACTTTAGGCAATTTAGAAGTTTAGTTGGGGGTTTAGGATAAACCATGCCTGAAAAAGTATTGAATAACTCATACTCATTCAACAGATGACTCCAAAATTCAGCCTGAGAAAATCCAGCAGTTTCCATGAGGATCATTTACTCTCTCGAATGCATGAGAAAGAGGTAGGACTGAGATATTTTTTATATGCCTAATTATTGACACTATTTTTATATTTTGTATAATATGAGGTTTCAGGTTTAGTTAGAATAATGATGCATGGTAGGAAGAGGTTGTCTTTGGTACACATATGAAGTAATGATGTAGGGTAGGCAGGGTTTGTCTTTCTACTTTTTTAAAAAAATATTTTTTATTGATTTCAGAGAGGAAGGGAGAGAGATATAGAAACATCAATGATGAGAGAGAATCATTCATCAACTGGCTGCCTCCTGCATGCCCTCCACTGGGGACTGAGCCTGCAACCTGGGCATGTGCCATGACTGGGAATCGAACAGTGACGATTCCCAGTTATAGGTTCATAGGTAGACACTCAACCACTGAGCCACTCCAGCTAGACATGGATGCTTTTAAGAATTTCTCAAATTTATTTTCAATTTGGTTATTTTCAATTTATAAAGTTTTCTTACCACTCTATTTATAAACTATCACAAAGGCATTGACTTTTTTCTTAGATATTTAAAACAATATCATGAACATAAAAGCTTATTTTTTTTTGTTGGTGGTGGAGGAAGAGGGCTCTTTAAAAAAAAGTCTACTTGGTATAATTATTACTGCTGACCGCAATAATATTCTTTTCTTTTTTAAAAAAACATATATTTTATTGATTTTTTACAGAGAAGAAGGGAGAGGGATAGAGAATTAGAAACATCCATGAGAGAGAAACATCGATCAGCTGCCTCCTGCACACCCCCTACTGGGTATGTGCCCGCAACCAAGGTACATGCCCTTGACTGGAATCGAACCTGGGACCCTTCAGTCCCCAGGCCGACGCTCTAGCCACTGAGCCAAACTGGTCAGGGCAATAATATTCTTTTCTTATTGAATTTATATGGGGTGACATTGGCTAATCAAATTATATAGGTTTCAACTCAGTAATATTCTGTCTGTTGTTTTGTAGCTCCAATTTAAGGCATGCAGCATGTTTTTTTTCTGTAATGCAATCCTAGTGTTCAAAAAAATACGCTGAAATAAAAAAATTATATTTTAAAAATCTTTTTTGAGGGTAATACTTCTTATATTCAGATGCACCTCCTTTGAGCTCTTGATATGAATTTTTTCCTTTTCAATAACTGTCAATTATTTTTGCAAGTCATTCCAAGTCATTTCCAACCATTTTCCTTTTATTTTGTACTATTTTTTTTTACTGTTGAGGCTGTTTACCATAGAATAAATAAAATAATTGAAAGGAAGTGGTGGCTTTTTGAAATTTTTTTGGTCTTTCATGAAATAATACCTCTATGATGACATTTTGGGTCAGGGGTAAGCATACCAATGCTACCCACATATGTGTTGAAAGAAAAAATATTTACAGTTACCATGTGTTGCATCAGAGATTCTTTTTTAAATGTGTGTGGTTTTATTTTTTCCACACCCTTATGTTTTTGTTTTTCTTTTTGGCATACTATAAAAATATTTTGACATCATTGAGAAGTTTGCATGTAAACATCAACTTACTCTATATCTTAAAATACAGTCTGTGTACATTTTGGCTAAAATAACCCTTGTGCAATTACATAGTCATTTCTGACTTATTTGAAAAAATGTTTACTTCATCCTAAAATATTTGAAAGTATATGTTGAGTGGCCCCTATGTGTGAACTATCTTAGTTTCTACTTTCTTTTAAAGTAGTATTTATGAGTTTAAAATAGCTTATGTGGATTTTTATTGAAGAAATTTTGGAAATTATAGACATATGTAAAGAAGGGAATAAAATCACGTATAAAATTAACACCTGGAAATAAAAACAGTGGTAAAATGTTATTGTATTATCTTTTAGATTTTCATTGTGTCCTTAAAACATATTTTTTCTTAGAAATTTGATATATATATATATACATATATATAGAAATTTGATATATATATATAGTGTTGTATATTCCAAGTATTTCTCATGCTATTAAATATTGTTCCCAAGCATCTATTTTTAATGTCTATATTATATTTCATACTAGAGGCCTGGTGCATGAATTTCATGCACTGGTGGGGTCCCTCGGCCTGGCACGCGCCCTCTTGCAATCCAGGACCCCTTAGGGAATGTCGGATAGCCGGTTTTGGCCCGATCCCTGCAGGTCAGATCCAGACAGGAGGAATCCCAATCCCCGCAGGTCAGATCCAGACAGGAGGGAGCCTGATCCCCTCAGGCCCGATCCAGACAGGAGGAATCCCGATCCCCGCAGGCCTGATCCAGACAGCAGGGAGCCTGATCCCCGAAGGCTTGTTCCAGACAGGAGGGAGCCCGATCCTGTGCGTTGAGCATCCCCTGGTGATCAGTGTGTGTCATAGCGACCGGTCGACTGGTCATTTGGTCACTTAGGCTTTTTTATATATATAGATTATGGATATATGCCTACTTATGTGAACTTATTCCTATTGTTAGGTATTGAGATTGTTTATAATTTTCAATAACATAAATACCTCTGGGAAGAATATCCTTATATCTCTGTCTTTATATGCATCTCCAAATATTTCTTTGGGGTAATGAATAATACCTTACAGAATTTATCTGGATCATGAAGCAGTTAGTAAAGGATTTAATTCTGTTGAAATTTTAGAGTCCTAAAATAGTTAACCTTTAGAAATCAAACTTTATAAAATATAACTTCCACTTAAAATTTATAATTGTGTGGAAAATACATAGATGTTAAATGAGTAATATTTGCAGTATTATTTTATTAGAGTTAAAGAATTATAGTAGTTTTGTTTTGGTGGCTAAAAATACACCTATTTTAAGATGTTCTTTACATTTTCAGTTTATTTGCGGCATTGTGAGAAAACATATGCTCAGTGATAGCCATCCTTTATTTTAACTCTAGTCTACACTCACACACATACTTGGACTTGTTTGCCTTTGTAATTGGTGACACATTTCCTGTGATAGCCACATCACAGGATTGTGTGACACTGAGTGTCATCAAGCAGTAGGTTGGTTGTTTTTTTTTTAGTATCCTTAAAAAGATTTCTGACGTAGATTAAGATGTTTGGAAAACTGTTGTCACTGAAAGTGAAAGAAGAGACAACACAATGAGGGAGATAAATTTTCAGAGCAACCATCAGTTTTTAGAGAGCAGATGGTAGAAATTGCTCTTTTGTGAAATAAAATAGAACATTTCCCTGGAACCTCACGACCCATATTGAATGTTCCCACCTATTGCCTTAGAAGGGATGTTGCTTCTTTCTTGCATGTGATGCCAATTAGGCATTTTCCCCCTTTATTTTAATGCAGAATTTAAATAAATCCAAGATAATTAAATCCATAGTCATTGACATAATAAATGAAAGAACTGATATTTTAAAACAGTTGTGAATGTAGCATTCATATATACAAAATCTCACAACATATAATAAATAATTATACCAAGGAATACCATTGTAAACAGGCAAGGATTAGATCATGGCCAATATCCCAAAAGTTTGCTGTCTGGCCCTCCCCATCATCACTCTCTTCAATCTTCCCTAGAAGTGACTACAATTCTGATTTTTCTGATGATAATTTCCCTCCTTTGTTTTTAAAGTTGATTTTACCACCAATTCCTGCATCCTTAAAAATGAAAATATTTTTATTGTAGTAGATTTTGAACTTCATATAACTAGAACTAAATTTTATATATTCTTTTGTGTCCTGCTTCCCTTTATAAGTTCATATTTATATAAGGGAACATTTAAGGAATAACTAATTCCAATATTACAGATATTTTTTGAGATCATAGAGAAGGGAATGCTTCTTGACTCATTTTATGGAGGAGACCCTGACAGCAAAACCAAAAGGACATTACAAGAAATAAATCCCAGTAAAAATAAAAATTTAATAACCAAGTTTATTATCAATACATTGAGAAAAGACATTTAATAAATGATGCTGGTATAACTTTTCATTTACCTGGAGAACATAAAACTGGGTCTTCATCCTCTAAAAACAAAAACAAACATGAATTTTGGATGTACTAAAAACTTACCTACAAATTCCCAATCAAAACGTTTCAAAACAACTCAAAAATCTTGCCAAAAAAAAAAATAAATCTAGGAATTGGAAGACCTTTCTAACCCTCAATCTTTCCAAATCCAGAAACTATAAAGAAAATTATAGAAATATTTAACCAAGTGAAATAAAAGGTTCTGTATGGTAAAAATATGTTATAAACAAGATCATTAGAAAAGTCATAGATTTGGGGAAAATATTTGGAACAGACTATGAATGTGTACAGCATACCAGGAGGTCTTACTGATTGAGAGACAAAACATGGATCAAATTGTGAAAGGCCATTTCACAGAAAAACATATTCATATGGCCCCAAAACATCTTAAAGGAGCTAAGACAGGGTAGTGTTCAGGGAAATGCAAATTAGAGTAGTAATGGATATCTACTCTTCTGGTAGAAATGTGAATCTACCTTTAATAGAGGGCGAAATCTATGAAGGTATATCCACCATTGACTCATCTGCATGTCTTCTGAGAATCCATCCTGTAGAAATCAAAGCCTAGTTGTAGGATGCATGTAGACAATATTTTTGTGTGGCTTTATTTGTAGTGGAAAAGCACTGGAAATAAAGTGAATATTCATTAAGGGGAATGGTTGAATAAATTTTATTTTCTCCTCATTAAGAAATAATTGACAGCAATGAAAAAGAATGAATAAAACTATAGCAGGTATTTTTTTGAGAGAGTTCCATGAGGTAGTGCATGTTCAGAGAGAGAGCAAGATGCAGAAAATATTTTTTTGCATGCAAAACATTCATAATATAAAAAATATGTATTGCTAAGGGTGTAGTGATTTGAAGAAGAGAATTTATTTAGCTCTCACATAACAACCCAGAGTGTGTAGGGAGTGCTGTGCTCAGTGATGTCATGCGGACCCGGACTAGTGGGGAAGTTCCACCATCCTCAGCATACAGCGTCAGTCTCTGGTCTGAGGTGTAGGTTGCTCTCCAATACCTTGTCTTTAAGTGC